TAGTGGCTAAACCCACCCTGTCCCGCAGCTTTTGTTGTTTTTTCACATTCTCTCATTCACCCTCTGCTTCTGCTTGACTGGGCCCCTGCCTCTGCCGTCCCTCTGCCGACTTTTAACCCACCCCGTCCTGCAGCTTATATTTGTTATTTTCGTGTGCGGACAAAATTTGACAAAAACACCGCTAAGGTGCAGATGTAGTACTGAGTGCCGGGTATAAAAGTTGTGAAGCGTAAGAAGCGTCTCACACGTCCCTTCTCGTTTGAATTTGACTTTGAATTTGGAATCTGGTTGTCGCCAGACGTCTACAAGTAAATTATTTATAAACCCGGTGAATTGAATGTTTTTTTATTTATTTACATATGTACATATGTATGTATGAAAAGATGGTGTCTGTAAGCGCTGCTTTGTTGATCATGTTCATATTTTTTTTTCCGAGCTTATATTTATACATACATATTTGCCTTGCAATTTTGTTTTTATGAATTACATCAGACTCATTCATTCAAACTTCAATCATTCAATGAGAAATATTCTTTCCACAGGGCTGCATTTTTCCACGGACAAATGGAGCAACCTGTAAGGGGTATTATGGCGTTGGTCAACCAAAAAGATATGGAGGTTCTGATTGCTGTAAATGAAAGAGGAGTTTATGTAATAGACCCATACGAAAGTGTAAGTCGTCTAACAAAGAAAATACGAACCGTTAATGAGGTCTGTGCCATGACTATAACTAATATCAATTCGAAATGATCTATCTTTTAGACTTTATTGTTGGGTCTGCGATACGAGGATTTGTCTTGGGATTATGCAAAGCCAAGTGCAGCTGATGATGCGGAATGTCTTACCTGCATATTTTTGCAGGTACGAATATCTAGTCTATTTTTAAATTATAAATGCATATAGATTAATACATATATCTTTTCAGTTTGATGCTGTCGAAAACGGAATACAAGTATCGAAACTTGTGCAGGTGTTTTCAAAGCAAGCTGCCATGATTGATGCACTAATTTCACATTTTACGGATCAAATAAGGAATAAAAAACAAGAAGGAAACTCAGCAGAGCCATTTCACGATGGTAAGATTGTTACAATGAGAAAGGGGAATAATAAGCAATACTATGCAATTTTTTATTTCAGAGCCAAATCCTATTCAAAATAATGGAAATGGTGTATTATGCAATAAGCTTTCTCGATTGACTTTGGCCACTTTTGATGAGGAGGGGGGTCGCTGTATTGGACAAATGGGATCATTATCTATAAGCTATTAAAATTCATAGTTATTAAACAAATTAAACTAAGAGTGTTAAATAAAATTTCATGCATACGAGGATATTCATGACTGTTAATAACTCATATAAGAACGTTACGTAGAGACGGCTGCCAGGTTCTTTGAGAACCTGTTGAAATTACCCATAAGGATACTCATATAAGGATACTCATATAAGGATACTCATATAAGAATACTCATACATCTAATTTAAGAAAAACGAATCAATATATTAACTTTAATTCCAATTTAATACATTTGTTTCGAATTTGAATTATGAGAAAATAGATGAACAGTCTGAATTGATTGCATTTCCTGAAGTTGGAAAAATATTGTAATTTATTTTTTTCCTTTATAACAAACCTTGTTTATGCTTTTCATGGTTGTGGGTAACACTACCTTTGTGTTTAAAAATTTGAATACGCAGATTAAAAACTAGTATACAATTTAGTTTCACTGTACGAAAGTGGTTACACATTTTGAACGAGAAAACAATTGGCTTGGAAACATGTTTGAGTAGATCACATATGTACTTAGAATCTGCAATACGAACGTATCAAAAGTAGAGCCTTGAGTAAAGCAACGAACCAAGGGCGCAGCCCTGTGAATCTCTGGCTTTCATAAGACAGGGTACTCGAATAATGTACTCCCGACGCTGACCATACACTGGCGTCCTTCGAAGTACGATCGTAGGAGGACGTAGTATGGTGCTGGAAAGAGTTTCTTAGTTTAGCTTAGGACCTCAGGTATCCTAACCCTGTGCTGGCTTAACAGGCTGTGCTGCTCCACTGTGGCGAATTTGAACTGAGTGAACCTGGCCTGCAAACGAATTTCCCAGCTCTCCCTCGTTTCTAGCAAGATCGTCGCTAGGACTCTGGATAGGATCTGGAGAACATCGGAACACTAAAAACAAAAAAAAATTATTGAAAATAGATTTCGAAGGTTTTTTCTAGCTTATTTCTTCCCAAACTAAAGCACCTCCTAGTAGGTATGGTAAGTATTAGTAGTATAAAGATGGTGTCTAAATGGAAATGGCACCCAAGTAAAAAGAGTTCCATACTCTCTCCCGAGTCAAAGTGCTGCAGGGCGTCAGGGATAGCTATTGCATCTGCTTTTGGTGCTGATCAATATCTATTATGGATACTTTGTAGGATCGGAAAAATGTATCTTTTGTGTACTTTGGCAGCATTTTTCCATGCAAAGTCATCAAACCCAAAACCTTACATGTATGTACTACATACTGAAATATGTGTTGTTTATTTGCTCTTTTAACTGTGAAGAAAATTATTGAAAAGATCAAGAGCAGATCATTTATGACAACATCGGTAATATAGATCCTATTCGCTGATTCTATGTATGTATACCTATGTATGTATGTATATTTTCAATTAATTCAACAGCTATTTGGTGCTTAGAAATCCATTTTTCTTTGTGTGATATATTTAGGAGTTTGAGAAGAGAGATTCAGCAGAAAACGTAAGCGGCACGTCAGGCCTTATCGGGAACTCGGTAGCCAGTTCATATTTTTTAGGGTTTTTTAATATGCATGATGGCAGAAAAAATGCAAATAATTTTCTGATGTGAGGTTTCTCTGGAGCAGAAACTACTACGTGTCTCTGTTTTGCTCTTCTTTCCTGCTGCATTTTTTGTTGACCTTCAATGAGATTATAGCCAAAAAAAAACAAATTAATAATTAGAAGATATGTATGTATAAACAACGGAATTGCAGCGACTGCAAGGGCTAATCTTACATAAATTCTCTCGTTCTCTGTGAAGCTGCAGCCGCAGTTCTTGAAACATATTGCGATGGAATCGCCCAACCAAGTCGAGACTGAAAGTGAGCCAAACCATTCTTCCTAGCTTTTCCCGTGAAAACGTGAAATATTCCGACTTCATTGCCATGCAGAAAGTGGATTGCCTCGGATTCGGTAGTTGGATAGTTGAAGCCCATTAGTAGATTATTTTGGTCAAGAAAATAGATTCGCCATTTGCTAATCGACTTCTGGAGTTTTGGAACGCTGCTGCTGCACAAGTTGGATTGCAAGACCCAAACCAAATGGAAGGGGACTGCGTCATCGGACAACTTATTGGCGCAGCGTTGCCAGAAGATGGTGATCCTGCAATACGCAACAGCAACAACTGTTGGCTGCACTCAGGTGGAAAAGAGCCATTCTGCAAACCAAGTCAACTTTCGATGCTTCCAACTTTCCGTAATTCTTCTCTTCCGAGCTCTAGGTGCAGCTGTGGTTTCACGACCTATCGTTTCTGGTATGCTGCAAGGATGAGTGGCGGCTTCGCTCGTCTCTCGCGTCTCCATACTAAAGACGATCTCACATTCGGAGGCAAATTTACGGCAAGGAACGCATCTTTATTTTCGGCATATTCAGCTTGCCAATATCTGAACGGCCATAAAATAGATAAAACGCAATGGCAAAGTAAAGAAATCCGGTTCAATCAGTTCTCTCTTCGTTATTCGATCTGTTGAAGAAGCTTTTTTGTCTGTTTTGTGCTTGCTGCCCCTTGTAGAGGAGTGAAAGACGAGCTTCCAACGGTTGGAGTATGTTCGGCAGCAAGCAAATATTTCAACCAAGTTGATCTAACTAAAGCGTTGTAATTGTTTGCTTGTTCTAACATAACAAGATCATAATGAGAAGATAGATTTGCTCTATCCTAAATTGTCTAGTAAGAAGTTGTGTATGTATATTTAAGAAGAAACAAATTTCTACTTCTAGAGGAAGCTAGAGGAAGGCTATTGATTCTTAGATTTCGGATTTGTTGTTTCGCCAAGATCGAACACTACATTGTATGCAAATCATACATACATACATATGTGTCACTCAAAGATACCGTACATATGTGTAAATGTAGCTACTATATTCATACATATGAACAGATGTACTATGTATGTACCTAATCACCTAAGCTGTCAAGCTGTCTTTTTGTAACCGGTTTGAAGTGATTTCTTTTCGAACAGGATACACTCTTACATATGTACATAGTACATATGTAAATACATTAATTCATACAATCAATCATATTTTAAAATGTTTATATAAACAGACGAAGGATGGACACAAAATTTCGATTCTCAACATGGTACATACATATGTATGTACATACATACATAGCTATAAAAGATAGTATGTATATGAATTGTATATGTGCATAGTTGCATAATTAAATATTGTATGTGGTACATGTATGCAGGTGCATACTCGTAGTGGTATGAACAAGTGGATAAGCCTACAAAATATAATTTTGAAACTTGCACCCACCTGCGTATCAAGATGGTTGGTTGAAATAGAGCGCAAAAAAAGTGTAAGCTCGTGTTCGTTCTCTGTTCGTTAAGAGAGGACTGCAGAGAGAGAAACGAATCGTCTGACAAGGAGAGCTTCGGCTCGTATCCTTTCTATTGTTGTTCGCTCTTAAATAGAGTTTGCGCAAAGCGGGTTTTTATAAGTAACAAGTTGTTGAAGTGGTGTGGCGGTGTTGTTTGTATTATTTCGCTAGGTCCTCTCACAGCATCTCAGAGAGAGAAGCGTGATTCTCTATTGGTTGTAGATGTATTTGTGTGTCTGTTTGCCTTCTGGCTATGTTTACGCTTATGTTTAAAGTTCTCTTCGCCGCAGTTATCTTGGCTTCGGCTGCTTCTCAGCCAGCTGCTTCGTGAGGCCATGGGAAGCTCCGATGCGGCAGGGTTCGCGGTATCAAAATCATATCCTTCTGTTAGTTTGAGGAGTAAACAACGGCGGCAGCAGAGCTCGGAACAAAAGTAGACACCCGCGTCTAAGTCGTGTCGACTCGATAAGATATCACACTTGAAGTCCATAAGTTTTGGTGTTAGAAGTTTGTTGTTTTGAAATGGATATCTCAGCGTATCAACACATGAATATCAGAATGAGTACGCGTGGAAAGCGACCGCTGCGAAATCTCACACCAAATGACAAGGTTAGAGCCATTCAACGCATCCATAATGGTGAAACAAAAGCAAGTGTATCCAGAGACCTGGGAGTTCCTGAGTCCACCTTGCGTGGTTGGTGTAAGAACGAACAAAAATTAAGATTTATGTGCCGCCAATTGGGTCCAGATCACTTGGGAATTGACACACCACCCGAAAAACGTGCCAAATACGAGATGCAGCTGCTGCCACCGAAACTCGCCACACTTCCCAATTACGACGATCTGGGATTGAGTAACTTTCTATTTTCGGCCACTGAGTTCCCAACCCAAAACGAATCCATATTAGAAAAATTAAGTTTGGTGGAATTTGTGAAAAAAAATGGACTGCATCCGAACGCAATTCGAGAATTGGGAGACGCACCCCCACCGAATTCCCTATCTGGTGTGGATTATTCAACAAACAGCATGATACATCAGCTAACCTTTTTGGCGCAGCTAAACTCAAAACTATCGTACCAGATGGGCGATCCAATGGCCACAGATATTCAAAGCTCGCCAAGCACAAGCAGTGTCGATACACCAAGAGAAGAAATTACAACCAAAACCAACTGCCCCTTACTGAGCGTTAAAAATTGGGCAAAAGATCCAGCAAAACGTGCGCATTTCAGTCAAGCAACACAACTCCAGCTGAATAATGATAAGAACAACAACGCGGTTGACCCATCCTATTCAGCAGGATTGACCACTACGCAATATCCTCTAGTAATGGAGCCAGTGAAGTCAGCTTATCCCGAAACGACGGTTTCCGCGATACCGCCAACATTTTCCACTCATTCGGATTTAGCTCCTGCGACACCCACTCCCACAACTGATAGTGATTGTCAGGGGGCTGCCTTGCTGGATTGGTGCAAACTATTTAATGCCAGTCTTAACTTTTTGGCTTTTGCTGCGGCCGCCGCCTCAATGCAGCCCTCTGACGGAACTGTCCCGAAGCATATAACGACACAGCATCCAACCACCACTGATGCTGACGAAACATATCCTTTCAACAATGCTCTTGCAAAACGGCTTAGTCCGTTGGCACATAGTGACGCCTCGAATGAAAGTTACTTCGACAGCGAGCCAGAAGATCTGTCTGTGCGCTCGTGTGCCTCCAGCCGTAACAACAGTAGATCTCAAACTCCCGATAAAAGCATCGCGACAGGCAGATTACAAAGCGACGAGGAGCAGTAAAAATGTGCAGTCTCTAATTTAAAATAAGTATTTCTTTGTATGTACATAATATAATATTTATCAGTTAATTACTACTAGCCATGTACATATATGCTCTTCTAATACTTATAAAAATATATATTCCTAGACATAGTTTTTTGACCCACATTTAATTAATTAAACCTATCGAGAAATGAAACTACTAATATAAGAAAAATTGGTTTTAATAAAACTGCATACCCGATTGTATTATGTAGAAATATCGACTGTGTGAAATCTTGTATAAGTAATAAATTAAATTGATCTAAAATAAGTAATAAATAAAATGTAACTTATTGTGTTAAATAGCCTAATAATTTTGAATATTCCGTAAGCAATTAAATTAAACAACATTTGTTTTCTATTTGCTGTAATCTCCATTATTCTTAATAAATATATCATACATTTATAAACAAAATAAATATAAACAGGAATAAAAGTGTAGTTTCGGGGGACCCCAAATTGTAATAATAAATACGATAGTATGATTGAAGCAAGGAAATTTGTTTTTTGGTGGGTTGCACAATTGTCCCTAAAAGTTATCATACAAACTAATAAACAGCAGCAATCAGGCTCAAACATGGTTAGCGAATGCAAACCGCAACGAAAGTTTTGAAGGCCGATGTAATATTGATAAAGAATTTTCTCTCAATAAATGTGTAATTTGTCATGATAAATATGTCTTTTTATTCAGCAGGGTGTCAAGCCAAAAATAGTCGAACAGTCTGATGTCCTCGTCCACCCACACAGATACAGACATTCATTCATCCATCTATACATATCCTATGAAAAGTTCATATTTTTTTGTTTTTACATATGTAACTCAGTATGTTGGTAAAAGTCGGGCTTCCACAAGCCATAGAAAAATAAATATAGTTCAATAAAAAAGTTGTTTATCACTGAAGACACTCCAACAATAACCTAAGCCGTACAACAAATTGTATGATAATATATTAAAATCAATTATTTAAATTTAAAGAATCGACCAATCTGCGATTATATTAAATGATTTCATTACCGACGCCTTCTTCTGATATTTGATAATTAAATACACAAGTTTTTACATATAGGGATGGCTGATCAAAGCTGACTTTTGCACTTTATTTTAATTCAAAATTATTAGGAGTACGGGGAAACAGATGTTGGTCAGACTATTGACTTTTTTGACTGGGTGTTGGTTCTCGAAATGTTAACTCTTCGTTGCAAACATCTGCTAAAAATCATAATATACTCTTTAAGGGTAAAAAAATACCAATAGCAAACTGCCAAAGAAACGGCATGAAGACGAATTATTGGCTCGCCTTTTGGAAAAATTAAATATCGCGTGTTGGTAATTTCCGCTTGGCTTCTCGTTGTCGCTGCCAACGACTGAAGTTGAGGCGAATTATTACGATGATTAGGAGACTGACACTGCTTCCAGGCATCCATGTCGACCATCCGGCCTGCCAACCGTGATCTGTATGCATGTGGGCACATTGCATGTGTTCTTCGGAGTGTTTTGGATATCTTCGTGTCTTTCTGGTTCTGGGCGAGAATTAAATTACAAAAATCCGAACCTCTGGGCATATCGGCAGGCACAGCCGCTGTCAATATTGTGTCGCATCCAAAACAGCATGATCGAAGACAAACGCGGTTGAAATACATATCTACATACATGTATACAAACATAACGTGTATGTTCATATGTACATAATGGGGTTCGTACTTATGTACATTATTGTTATTTAAAAAAATTGCTGGAGAATTGCAAAACTTTGTATGAATATTAAAGAGAAAGCAAGCATTGTTGGCCGATACCCGATCGAATCGTTCAGTGCTGATCTACAGTCGGTTGAGTATTGTTTAAATAGTTTTAAAAATATTTACTATCACATCGCTCTGAACTGATTTGGATCCCATTGGAATAATTCATATCGAAATTTGAACCACATGTGTTTTGGATTGTATCTGAAGGCGTCTAATTGGGGCGATATATGTAGATTTATCCTCAGGTCCGATACGATTTTTCAGAGCTTAATCTAACTTTAAAAAGAAAACAAAAATGTCACAATGGCAATCTTTCGAAGTCTGTAGGAATAATTCCGAATTGTGCGTGTTGGCAAACGTTATATAACTGTAACTTTTGAATTCAAAAAGAAGATCTGTTGTAATAATCTTGATTCGTTTGATAAAAACTTTCTTTCCTTTCCAAAGGGAAATTCCCTTTGATGATCGCCTCTTGAATTACATTAATCATTAGTTTCTTGGCAGACAACCGCGTACCGTTGCAGAGTGGAAGATGATTCAGATTTCGTAACTTGATTATGTTTGAGTACGATCAACTGTTGTTCTATAGAAGATAAGAATGCAATGCAATGCAATAATTATTTATTTAAGCTTGGTGTTGCGTCTGGAAAGTGTAAATGAAAGCAGATTGAGCTTGATGAACGATCACAAATCACCAATTACTGAATCGAAACCGATTTTTCAATTTGTAGATTTATGAAAGCAAGCTTATACAAAACATCAAAAACACTTTTTCTTATCGAAGATACGTATACAGTAATGAAAAAAGCTAAAATATATTATAAAGTATTGCAAAAAGGATTAAATTATGTTTGTACGGAATACATAATTAAATATACGAGCTGAGACATATTTTCTACGATTGATCTTTAAAGTTATTTAATTCAACTTATACCTGAATATAATTTTCTTTCATTCTTAATACAACATTATTTTTATATAGTGGTATAGAGTCCATGTGGTATGTCTGTCCATTCAACTGTAAAACATTGAAAACGCAACGATGTATTCTTTCCTTTCCGCGGTCAACATACTTCCATTTAAGGGTTTCAGCTCACATGCAACTAATCTGATTGTAATTGATGTCTGCTTGAGGAAAAAAAGTCCGAACACGCAAAATGTGGAGTATATTTTTTTGAAATCGTTAAGGTTCCTTAGTACCCATTTATTGAACGACTGAATAAGAATCAAGTGATGTTTAGGCTTTTGTAAATCCACAGTGTCAGCTACGATTTCATATTGTTTCACAACTAAATCGCGGCACGTGTCTCAGAGTGTTCTTTCCGGTTCTCTTGTCCAAAACGGTGTCTTAGTTGCCTACTTGATGGGAACATCAAATTATATAATGGAGCTAATGCTTTGACGGTGAGGAAATATATTTATAATCAGACAAAAAAATGAAATTCATTTCAGTTTAGTAAGTACACATTTGTATGTAAATTGTGCAGAAACACACATATGTACATATGTATATAGAAAAGTAAAGAGACAAGAAAAATGTGGCACTTAATCACGAATGTGTAGGTTTCTTTTTCCTTTTCGCTTACAGTAAAAGAAATAAACAGTAGTACAGATCAATGCTGGCATCCAACGAAGAGGCTGAACAGACTGAAGTCTGTCGTGGATGCAGTTCTCCGATGAGTGCTGCCTTTTAGGTCGTCGACACCAAAGTGGCAATTCCAAAAATTATCCCAGAAACATTTTGGAAGTTTACATGCTCAAGACTTAAACTCATAAGGTATAAGTTGGCAAAATCTTAATGTCTTGAAAGTCTGCATTTCACTTCATTATTTCTGTAAGATTGGTTGGTAAAAGTAAGATGTAGGCCCATTTTTTAGTCGAGTAGTCTATGGAAAGTGTGGAGCATTTGTACACTCAATTGGAATTATAATGTTTAAAAAATCATAGATAAGTACATACGTACGCTCTACATGATCTACTGTAGGATTTACTAACTTTACGAGGAAACGAGAATATCAAATTGAAAGACCGGTTGAGTTTTCATTCTTATTTGGAAGAGTAGGAAACGTTTACCGAGATGGAAACGGGTTACGTATATAATTGGATTTGAATATTCAGTAGCTATTTTCGCGTTTATTTAATCATTACAAATGAGTTTTGATATTTTCGTGCACGCTGTCAGCCTTGCAGGACATGCAAAACATGTATTCAAATATGTAAAAATACCTACATAGTATGTAAAGATCATGGTAAGACACACAAAGGGTATACAAGGGGTAAAACTGTTAAGTGACAATGAAAAATGAAATAATCCGACCTGTATTTATGTACATTCATATGTATTCATGAGTGTATAGGCACAGAAGAAATGTAAAAGAAACCTCAAAGTGAGCAATGAGTTGAAAATAAACAATTAAATTGAAACAATTAAATATGCAAGCTTATTATTAAAAGATGAAGAATTTTGCGTATTGAGAACTCCTTAGTAATTGGTTTAGCTGACGTATACATACTTAAAATAAGCGTCATAGCTTATCAAACGATTCATAAGCACCATATTAGACTCAGAATATTTCATTTGGATGCTGTTGGCAATTCTTAACAGCACAAGGAGCATTTTGGGATTACTCTGTCCGCCAGGGGTGGATTACCTGACAAAGTAATAGAAATAGTACTACTGACTTTGAAGGAACTGGCTGTAACTGACTCTTAAATGACACACATGATCTTACGTTCATATGTGTTACATGGTCTGTCTCCGCTAAGATACATTTGAATTTCAAAAATACGACTGAAAAGGATTTTGTTGCTGAATCTCTTATAACTATAATAGACTTCATACTTCAACGGCTAGTTTAATTTCTGTGTACAACTAACAGAAAAATCTAATGAGTTTTGACGAGCAGCTCTGTTTTTTACCTTACTCATTATTATAATCAGTAGCATAAAAGAGATACATACTATGTGCGTACGTATTTACAAATTTTAGGCGTTGACCACCTTACCTCAGTTTGTTTTATAGCGAAACATACATTTCCTCGTACAAATTTACATACGCTGTATGTAGGTTTGTATGTCGGTATATCTGTATATAGTTATGGGCATAGAAGGTCTATAAGCTTACGGGTCGTCCATGTGAAAAAGGCAGGACAGGACCATAAAAAAGAAACCCCTTCAGTTGTTGTTAAACAAACTCCTGCGATTTCTATGTCTCATAACAAGCATGGGTCTCACATACATATATACTATTTAGAAGCGCGCAGATGGCTCTAACTCGAAAGTGGACAGAATTTAACGTTATACAG